CCATATAGGTCAGTATCATATCTAGTCACAGACTAAGGGAAGAACAATACCATATAGGTCAGTATCATATCTAGTCATTTAAGTTATCAATAACAACTTTATACATGTTTTAGAGGCTTGCCTTTCACAGGTAAAAACAAAGATTGTTATTCAAGACTTACCTTAGAATTTCAAAGAACACACATCCGACACTCCAGATGTCCATTTTATATGTATAGTACCCGTCAGTTAGCAGACACTCTGGCGCTCGGTACCTGGACGCAAGAAAAATATTTTGTGTTTTACCTGGTATTTTAATTAAATTTGAAAAAAAGTATCGGTGATTTTCTGCATTGATCTGTCCTTTGTATGGTCTATAATACTTACTCCATTTACAGTACACACCTTAACATTACTAATCAACAAAATTACCACCGTTACCGAAAATGGGGACATACTTACTGGGTAATGGGCGTGAGCTGAATGGGAATAAATAAGTATTTTCCGGGTTTTTGTATTCAGGAAGATGTAATGTTTTAAACTGTATTTTTTCTTTACATTTCAATAAAAAAAAGAGTAAAGAGATTACATTTTAGGTCTATACCTTTTTTGATGTTTTGCTAAATGACATTTGGATGAGCTTACCACCGCGTGGAGATGTATTCTGTGTAGGGTTGTTTGGAGTACACACTTCTACATGATCCGAAATCAGCTAGCTTCAGTATGTCCTCCTAAAAACAGGTCAAACATTCATGTTATTATTGAAGATTTTATAATCCCCCCAACAGTGACATTAGATTCATTAACATAAAAGTAAAATCTAAATGTGAAATTATTGAATATTCAACAGAAAATGTGACAACTACAAACAATACCACATAGAGTATAAGTTTCCTGGCATGTTACCGTTTGAATTGTTTTGTGGAACAGTGATATTAACAGTAAAACTCATTTAGATTTGTTTTAATTTTGTCTTTTTCGTAATCTTTAATATTTTTTCATAAATATAATAGAGTAATTTTACACAAAATTTGTCACTACAAAAAATGTTTAAATAAAAAAATGAAGAAAAAATGGGAAGCAAAGAACGCAGATATAAAATTCTGGAGAAATATAATTCCAGTATAATAGCAAATGGAAGCCATATAGAAAGCTCAAACCAAGCTTAACTGAATGTATGAAGAGATGATTAATGTGTTATCAAACTGTGACATAAACACACTGCTCAGTGGTCTGGTGCAAACACACTTGAGTTTCTGAATATTTGGTTTTCATTTTTTTTGTAACTAAATTTAGAATTGAAAGTTTCTAAAAGACTTTTACAATTAGTCAAAGCTATGTATAAAGTATGCCTGCTTTCACTACATACATTACAGACGAAGTAGAAACCAGTGTGGACACTGTCTCATATAACAGTAACACATGTACTTACAGGGTCCAAACTATCCCCAAAAATTATGTAAAAACGCAAAACAATTACATGTGCATAATAAAGGTTGTCCCACAGCCGTAAAGCTTGCCACCATTTATATACAGAAAAAGTAAAACAATATAGTGTATGTGAAAGTATGCCACACTATTATAGATAACACACAAATATGTGACTGGCACACTTCATACAAATCAGGCACCTTATCACTGGCAGCCAACTGCAAATTAACAAATTGAAGTGTAAGTGTTCAATTATTTTAAAATTTCAAAGTTTGGAGACTGTATGACACTTTCCTGTATAGAAAGCTTTATGATGGCTAGACATTAATCACTTATCAGGGATCCAGTGAAAAATTCATCAGTATCCATCGTTACCAATCATTAATCAGCATCTTTATTTACAAATAATTAATTGGGATCTATAGTTACCAATGCTTAATTGATATCCATAGTTACCGATGATTAATTGGTATCCCTAGTTACCAATGCTTAATTGGTATCCATAGTTACCAATGCTTTATTGGTGTCCATAGTTACCAATGATTAATTGGTATAAATAGTTACCAATGATTAATCAACATCTACATTTACCAATGCTTAATTGGTATCCATAGTTACCAATTATTAATCAGCATCTACATTTACCAATGATTAATTGGTATCCATAGTTACCAATGATTAATCAGCATCTACATTTACCAATGATTAATTGGTATCCATAGTTACCAATGATTAATCAGCATCTACATTTACCAATGATTAATTGGTATCCATAGTTACCAATGATTAATCAGCATCTACATTTACCAATGATTAATTGGTATCCATAGTTACCAATGATTAATCAGCATCTACATTTACCAATGATTAATTGGTATCCATAGTTACTAATACTTAATCAGTATCTACAGTTACCAATGATTAATCAGCATCTATAGTTACTGTTTATTTTCACCACTCCATAGTCACCCATCTCTAAATTTTGTTATAAAATATGTACAAAGGACCACAACTATGTTTATATATATAGTGGGGTGCAAGATCTGATTTCAGTGCATGACCTTTGGTCATCACAAGAGGCACTAGTATGACCTTTGGTCATCACAACATGTAATAACATGACCTTTGGTCATCACAACATGTACTATCATGACCTTTGTTCATCACAAGAGGTACTAACATGGCCTTTGGTCATCACAAGAGATACTAGCATGACCTTTGGTCATCACAAGAGATACTAGCATGACCTTTGTTCATCACAAGAGGTACTAACATGACCTTTGTTCATCACAAGAGGTACTAACATGACCTTTGGTCATCACAACATGTAATAACATGACCTTTGGTCATCACAACATGTACTATCATGACCTTTGTTCATCACAAGAGGTACTAACATGGCCTTTGGTCATCACAAGAGATACTAGCATGACCTTTGGTCATCACAAGAGATACTAGCATGACCTTTGTTCATCACAAGAGGTACTAACATGACCTTTGGTCATCACAAGATGTACTAACGTGACCTTTGGTCATCACATGAGGTACTAACATGACCTTTGGTCATCACAATAGGTACTAACATGACCTTTGGTCATCACAAGAGATACTAGCATGACCTTTGGTCATCACAAGAGGTACTAACATGACCTTTGGTCATCACAAGATGTACTAACATGGCCTTTGGTCATCACAAGATGTACGAACATGACCTTTGGTCATCACAAGATGTACTAACGTGACCTTTGGTCATCACAAGAGGTATTAACATGACCTTTGGTCATCAAAAGAGATACTAGCATGACCTTTGGTCATCACAAGAGGTACTAACAAGACCTTTGTTCATCACAAGATGTACTAACATGACCTTTGGTCATCACAAGATGTACTAACATGACCTTTGGTCATCACAAGAGGTACTAACATGACCTTTGTTCATCACAAGATGTACTAACATGACCTTTGGTCATCACAAGAGATACTAGCATGACCTTTGGTCATCACAAGAGGTACTAACATGACCTTTGTTCATCACAAGAGGTACTAACATGGTCTTTGGTCATCACAAGAGGTACTAACATGACCCTTGGGTCATCACAAGATGTACTAACATGACCTTTGGTCATCACAAGATGTTCTAACAGGGCCTTTGGTCATCACAAGAGGTACTAACATGTACAATATGACAATCGTAGAAGACAGAGTAAATGAAGTCCTGGACTAGGTGATTCACAGTTAACAACGAATGTTCCATTTGGCTGTATATAGTAAGGCACAAGACCTAATTTCAGTATGTGACACTCCGCAATTGCAAAATCTTCTTTCATGCTTATTTTTTGGAAAAACAGGTGACAGAGTCATGCTTTGACTGACGGAGAGAGTACAAACCTGCAGTCTCTTCCAGTAATGATAAATCATCGGGGGAGTTATTAGTTACCAATGGAGGTTTTCACTTTTACATCTTCTTTCCTTTCAATAAGTGAACAAATTTGTTTTTGATGGCTATAACTACTGTTACTATTTTTTCATAATATTCCCGACAAGTGATTGGCCAGGAGTGCATCACGAATCCACCGATAAAAACTGATATTAACTTGGAGCGCATGATTTTTGTTGAAGGACTGGGTGTTTCTAAAAGTAGAATTATGACGTGTCTCCAAACAATGCACCGTCCCACTTCCGAAGCTTTTTTGCTGGTTTTTTTCCCCCCAGATTGCTTACATTACTGTTTTGTAAAATAATAAAACAATTGTAGCCTTTAACTTCGGTCAATACCTGGATTTATCGACCCGAGAAAAGATATTGACCGAGGACTGCGTCTTCGGTCAATATATCTTTTCTCGGGTCAATAAATCCAGGTATCGACCTCAGCCAAAGGCTATAATTGAATAGTACATACCATATTTAATGAATATCCTGTATTTCTCTAATGTAGGCAAAACAACAAAGATGTTCATCTGTTTGAACAACACACCATGCTGTGTCAACATTTTGTAAAATGAAAGGTGTGATGAAGGTGAACATGTAATGGAATGAAAACTGCACTCAAGTACATTTACAACTAATCACAGTCGGTAAAAATGTGATTAACTCTACTAAATGATCTCAGATGATGATTCTACTCTAAGCTAGAACAAAAGCTGATTAAGGTATGGATATACCAGTTTCTATATCTAAGGTATAAGGTATATATATACCAGTTTCTATATCTAAGGTATAAGGTATAGATATACCAGTTTCTATATCTAAGGTATAAGGTATAGATATACTAAGGTTTAAGGTATAGATAAGGTATAAATATACCAGTTTCTATATCTGCGGTGTAACTACATAGATATAACAACAATCACATACCTTGATTAGAATATTCTCAGGTTTTACGTCTCGGTGAAATATACCATTTCTGAAATTTAATACAAGCATAATAAATCAAAAAGATATAATCAAAAAGATATTTAATGTGTATTCTGATAAAATGAATTTTTAATCAAGATTTACTTTAAACAAAGATGAAACTGTAATTTTTATAGATATACTTGTTGTCATTGATTTTTAAAACTTAAAAGTAAATTATCTATTAAAATGGTGTTTTTTTCATCATTGTACACATTTTTCTTGTTTGAATAAACGTTACAGCTTGTTATGACAAGAAGACAGAAGATCAGTTAATGAGGAAAGAATCGAGCAATGTACGAGAAGGGAACATATTCATTTCACAGAATTAAAAAAAAATCATACCATTTTCTTTAAAATTGAAATTTGTATGCAAATGAATTGAGAATGATTCGAATTCTGAACATTTTTTCTGATCAAAAGTATATATACTGCAAAAGTACTTCATAAAATCTGGCTGAATGGGGTGTCACAAGATTTAAACAGACAATATCTAAAGGACTAGTGTTAGAGGTCAGACACAACATTTACAGGAATGTTAACAGTGTTATTACGTATAGAAATCTGGTATTAAGGTGTCGGTGTTACGAAGGAGTACAAAGTGTTGGTAACATCAGGGTACAAATCAGGTCGTGGAAGCAATGATAATGAAACTAATGTAACAGCTTTGTCAGAAATGTGTCAATACTTTCATACAAAAGATGCTGAAGGCACCAACCTTGATTGTCATCCTGGTTTGGAGGTGTTTTATGTATATTCTAGCAAGAATGCTTTCAATAAATTTATTGACAAATTGATCTTTACTCTAGGCATTTATATTTAAATGAGGACATTTCTAATTAAAATATAAATGCCTAAATATGTGTAACAAACAATTTTGCTATTTGATTATTATTTATTCTATCTGATCAATTTTCATTTTGTTACATGTATTTGAGTATATTTTTTTTTCATATTCTTTAATCAAGCAAACAAATAATAACGGGCTTAAAAGGTATTTCAAATATATGTCTTGCATTCCTATGCTTTGTCAATATTACTGCTTTCTTGGCAAGCTGAGTAAATATTGTAACAGACTAGCACTGGGCGTGATATTGTATTTTCACTTCTTGTACACGTATGTACTTCTAGTTTACAAGCCTGATATTGCTGCGTTCATGTGTACCTGGCCCCATGGGTACTTATAAGCAATTTACTGTGTTAGCATAGGATATCATGCATGAATGTTAATCTCAAGCAAAGCCAGATTCAAAATCATTGTAAATCAAACTTAGGGTTCATTCCAAACTGACTGTAATTACCATAATAATCTGATCAATTACCAGAGTCTTTTTCTATCATAGAAATAATTTAATTTTGAATCTCAATAATTATTTACTAAATTTCCCAAATTACATTTATCAAGAATTTGCATTAGTGGTTTAATCAAGTTTTGTAAAAATGAAATATAATATAGCATGCAAAGCTTAGCATTCTGGGCCAAATTTTCACCAAAAATCTCTGATTGGCTAGGAATTTTCTTTCTTTCCTAACCAATCAGATTACTCGATATGCTGTTTGGTGAATACCTGGCCATGCAGTTGTTCCGTACTACATACCTATGTAAGTGGTCTACAGATTTACAAAGCTGATACATATAATTTTTAACAGTTGCTTCAGGCAAATACTGACGTTTATCTGTAAGAAACAGAAATAGATACCACAAATCAGTTTTGTGACGGATGAAACACTATGTGACCCACACCTCTGTAGTGACCCCCCATACCGTAACTGCATTCTCTGTACCATATCAGCCAATATTCTCAATATATACCAGGTATGTAACTTCAAAATTAAATAAATACTAACAGAACTTTGATTTTTAAGGTGATATAACAAAAATGAAGAAAAAAGATATCTGTTGGATTCTTTTTAAGTTATCAGGATTGTTAACTTGTACACATGGCATCAAAACGCAATTATTACAGAATCTATCCTGCCAATAAGTGTTGATACTAAGGAAGAACATGGCTCAATTTTTCGTACGAGATATTTGTTCAGTGCAGAATAAAAAACTTGAATTTGACCTTTAGACCTGAAAAGCAATCCAAACAAGCGTTCCTGGTAATACCTGATAGTGACAGCTATAAAAGGGAGGTAACTTAATTTTGAAATCAATGAGAGAAAACATGGTTTTAATAAAAAAAACTTTGAATACCCCTAATTTTGATTAACAATGTTTTTTTAGGGAGATTAGGTTATTATAAAAAACTTCAATTCAATATTAAAATAAAGATTTTCAAAATAACATCACTTCAAACCAAGAAGAGAACAAATGTGGCAGATTGTGCAGTTACGATTTAATGGGTACACACCACACCAACTCACACGGACCATCCTTCTCCGTCTCAGGTTACTGTCTTATTTATTTTATATTACATCTCTTTTATTTTTCTTAAGAACAAGAAAAAGAAATGAGACACAAAAACGAGACAAACAACCAATTTATCTTACAAAAAGTACTCAAGTTTCAAAGCTGTGTAATAACTACTAAAAGAGAGGCACTTCAACTTCTCTTCATTGGCAAAGCAAATTTCTTAAATTAGGGTTTCATTTTATGAAAGAGTTAAGCTTTTCCTGTAAAGGGCACATCTGACAAACTAAGGTTCTAGCACAGAAGACTAGCCATGATTCCTCAGAGCTAAATACATGTAAGGTTTTAACAATTAACTTCTATAATTTTGTTGTTGTTACCATTTTCTCAGGTCATTGGTAATAATGAATTTCAATGATATCACATTCCAAAGATATAATGTTATCATTACTTCAGTCGGTGCACATCCTGAGGAATCATGGCATGCTCTTATGTGGCTAGAGGCGACAACTACAAAGGTGAAGGGGCTAAAGTGCTGCCATCTCTGGCCTATAACATTTACATCTGGAGTTACACCCCCTTACCTATGCATATGTTCAACAGATTTTAAAAGTTGATACATATAGTGTTTTACTTTCCGTTCTGGCAAGTAATGTCTTTTTCCTGCAAATAATATGTTAACTGGTTAAATAAACTGGAACATATAACAATATAGCTGACAGGTATAAAAGAAATACAATATGTATTCTGCAAGGGACATCAGTTTTCATTGAAATATAAAACCTTTTTATTACACACTAAAACATGGTTCCATCTATCTATGTATACCACAGTAGTCAACCCAACAGCACACTTTGGGCTGTAAACCAATTAAACATGGATAGTGGATGTACTTAAAACAAAATAAATATTACAAATAACTGCAAATGTTGTAAAAATGAATATACAAGAGGCCCAATGGGCCTGCATCGCTCACCTGGTATTAATCTCACACTTGTAAACTTAAAAGTGGACTAAAATACAGCTACAGGCAGAATATCAGTGTGANCCTATAAAAAATGCATTGAAAGATGAGCTAGTTTTCAACAAAAGTGAAGTCTGTATTGTTGTGTTATCAAATACCTGTATTAATGATACAAATGAAAACAAAGCAGAGAAATAGAAAATACCAGGGTATATATAGATATATAGATCAAAGAATAACTGACATGTAGCATGACGAGGCGATACATACAAAAATGTCATACATAATTTTAAAACTCTTAAATGGTACATATAAAAGCGATCTGGAACAAATACACATTACATTCTCATTAATTTGTGATACCTGAAGAAAAACTTTTGACCTGATCAGTAATCTGTGACTACACATTTTGTTTGGTATGTGTACTTACAGTATGCATTACTATTTGAAAATGTAAATGTATGACAATACATCTATGCCCATATTCAATTCATAGTCATAGCATACCTACATACATAACCATTTATATCCTGTATGGCACGTATTCAAACATGAATAACCATATATACTTTTGTATATATACAATATTGTATAACGATGTACATGTATATATACAATATTATGTAACGATGTACATGTATATATACAATATTATGTAACGATGTACATGTATATATACAATATTATATAACCATGTACATGTATATATACAATATTATATAACCATGTACATGTATATGTACAAAATATATATATATATATTGTATGGGAGTATGGGTGATATTCATAAATGACCATATATAGGCTGTGTATGATTAGTGTACATACATGTGCCCCACATGTTATACAGTGTACATACATGTTATACAGTGTACATACATGTTATACAGTGTACATACATGT